GTCCTCTTTTCGGCCAGGCGGGTGTCAGGTGAACTCCATCACTCATTCAGCAGCACATGGGGTCCCCTCCAGAGAGTTAAGGTAGCGCTCCACCTCATGCGGGTTGTTAAACAGCTTGGTTGATCCGCGAAGAGTAACTTTCAGCAGAGCCGGGTAGATCTGCCTGTATTCTGCGCCAAGCAGTTTGAGCTTCTTCTTCACTACGTCGTAGCTCTTTCTCTTGCGGAGAACTGCAGCCGATAAATCCTGAAAGAACATTACTGTTGAGTCACCGTGCTTCACTGATTTGTTCTTTCTGCCCAGCTCCCAGGATGCGTTCATCACTTTGCTCCTTTGCTCCATCTCCACTAGTCTTTCCTCATGATCGTCCAGTGTGGTGCTGTGTTTTGAGAGTAGTTCTGATATTGGTCTCAGCTTCTCGTCAATTATCTTGGAGATGTTTACAGTTGTTTCATCCACCACCTCTTGCAGCGTCTGGAAAGTAGCAGCCGCTACAGTCTGCGTTTCGATGCTAGCATGACTAGCTTCCGCTTCGGCTACTTTAGCTTGTCCAGCACGGCCTGCGGAGGCGTCAGTAACTTGGCTCTTTTTACGTGGCATTTCGTTGGACTGTCTCAGYAAATAGCTGTTAATACTCTTATTAAAGTGGTACACTTCGTGTGACCTGGAGCTGTTGAATATGATAGGTTAAAATCAGTTATTAGCAAATTTCTGCGGCTGCTCTCCCGAACGTGACCGATCCTCACGCCGCCATCTTGAGACTCGTTTTTACATCGTTGTGTTAAAAAGGCTCAGATGTTCCTGAAAAGGACTTGAAGGCAGCATGTAAAACCTCTGCTGAATGTTTCTGCAGTGTTGTTGTTGTGTAACAGTGTTGTTGTTGTGTAACTCAGTGTTGTTCAGAACACTGGTCCGAGCCAACACCTGCAGTCTGGACTGGATCAGATCATGACCACAGTCCTGTTGACATCAGTTGTTCAAACATGTGTTACTGTGTGTTGCATGGATGAATGTAGTAAAATAAAAAGATGTTAAAACTGTTCATCAGAAACTAAAATCAAACCATTTCAGGGTTTGTTGGTTCAGATTTGAGGCTCGAAGTGAAAACAGGTGTTAACAATGAGAAGCACTGCTGTCTGCAGGCAGAGACAACAAAACTGGGTCAACATTCAGTGAGTTTGTATCCAGAGGAATCAGAGCTGATTATCAATAAAGTTTCTGTTTGTTTTTCAGTCGTTTCCTGTGATGCAGTCTCCTGTTTCTGTACGACTGGCCTCATCTCCAGGACCAGGTACACTGTCTCTGTCCCTGTCTCTGTCCCTGTAACTGTCCCTGTAACTGTCCCTGTCTCTGTCTCTGTCTGTGTCTCTGTCTGTGTCTGTCTGTCTGTGTCTCTGTCTCTGTGTCTGTGTCTGTCTGTGTCTGTGTCTCTGTCTCTGTCTGTGTCTCTGTCTGTGTCTGTCTGTCTGTGTCTCTGTCTCTGTGTCTGTGTCTGTCTGTGTCTGTGTCTCTGTCTCTGTCTGTGTCTCTGTCTGTGTCTGTCTGTCTGTGTCTCTGTCTCTGTGTCTGTGTCTGTCTGTGTCTGTGTCTCTGTCTCTGTCTGTGTCTCTGTCTGTGTCTGTCTGTCTGTGTCTCTGTCTCTGTGTCTGTGTCTGTCTGTGTCTGTGTCTCTGTCTCTGTCTGTGTCTCTGTCTGTGTCTGTCTGTCTGTGTCTCTGTCTCTGTGTCTGTGTCTGTCTGTGTCTGTGTCTCTGTCTCTGTCTGTGTCTCTGTCTGTGTCTGTCTGTCTGTGTCTCTGTCTCTGTGTCTGTGTCTGTCTGTGTCTGTGTCTCTGTCTCTGTCTGTGTCTCTGTCTGTGTCTGTCTGTCTGTGTCTCTGTCTCTGTGTCTGTGTCTGTCTGTGTCTGTGTCTCTGTCTCTGTCTGTGTCTCTGTCTGTGTCTGTCTGTCTGTGTCTCTGTCTCTGTGTCTGTGTCTGTCTGTGTCTGTGTCTCTGTCTCTGTCTGTGTCTCTGTCTGTGTCTGTCTGTCTGTG